AACCTCTAAGGTAATTTGTTTTGCCCAATATTCAGCTACAGGGTAGTTGTGAACTAAAAGACAAGTTTAATGAATGGATAGCTCGCGCGCGAGAGAGAGGACATCTGCGGCTTCACGCCGAAAGATCTCGTATTTTGCAAATGGTAATACCCTACTTTATTAGTTAATCATGTTTTCTTTATTTGCAGGGAACTAGAAGATCCCGTAGAGGTCGGAAAGCGGGACGCAATGTTTAAGAATAGCAAGTTGTAAGTATCTATAGATTCACTAGTTATAACAGCACTGCTTTGGGTAAACACGTGTTCTTGGTATAAAAGCGATTTAATTTACAAGTCTGAATTTGTGGAGAGAATTTACATGTGAGCCCAGTTCAAACATTGCGCCTTCTTCTTGTCGAATGTAAATCTATAAACTGTATCATATTCGAATAGTTAGTTAAACTGGTTGTCGACAGTTTATTTTAAGTCTTTATTTAAAGGCGAGTCTAATTCAGACTCAGCTGTGCTTTATTTTATCTCAAGTTCATTGTCGAAAACACCGTCTGGAATAGCATTCACTTGCAAATTACTAGGAACAACCACCAGCCTTTCGTCAGGTTGCACATCAATTCGCTGGTACCATTATTTTATAAAATACTACTTTGTGGCAAGGGCACTGTGTAACTTAAATGTCTTAAACAAGAGTATAAGGCAAAGTTGTTTTCGAACTTGTGTCACAAGCAATGCTGTTGTATCACCTGGCGTGCCAGGTGGTACCCTAGGGCCCTGTCCACATTACGCCGGAGAAATTTGAAAACGGAGCTTTATTTCTACGGTTGAATCTATCGTCCGCACTAATCCGTGACGAAAACGGAGCTTTTCGAAAACGCTCTTCAAACCGGAAGAATTTGAAAACGCCGGCTTTGCGTTTTTGTGTGGACGGAAAACGTTTTAAAAATGAAGCTTTTCGAAAACGATGACGTCACGATAATCGTGATATTCCCCTGCCCGAGTATTCCTCAAACAGAAATCCACAACGACCGGGTATTGTTACGTTTTCAAATTTCTTCGGCGTAGTGTGGACGGCTGAAAAACATTTGATGCGTTTTCAGAGTGAAACCTCCGTTTTCAAATTCCTCCAGCGTAGTGTGGACCGGGCCTGGATGAAGCGGCCCTTGCTCGCTGTGACATACGCGTGTTTTCCCGCTCTGACAGGGCACTGGTTGCTTGTTTTCCCGCGCTTGGCACGTGGTGCAAGTTCTTCAGTACTTTGGGCTCTGATTGGCTAATTGCGTCACGTGGCTTTGATAGGCTAGACGTAACAGGCCATTTCCTAGATACCTTGTGTCTCTGTTTCAAAACAGTCTTCGAGCTAAACCTTTCACATGAAAATAAGTTTGATTTGCATAAAAATGAACCCGTAGGGGGAACACATTTTCATATGAATGGTTTTGCACGCAGACTAGTTGTGACACAGGAGCAAAAGACAACCTCGGAAATGGTCGATTGCCTTGGTTTGGATTGGACTGTACCATAGTTATCAAAACTTTTCAGAAGATTCTAAGAAATGATGCGAAACACCATGTTGTCCGTATTATTTGCAGTTACCAAAAGCGCAAAATCATTGCCCTTGTCGTGGCGATCATTGTGATTGCGATCATTATAGCCGTTGTGCTTGTCTGGGTGCTGAGGAAAAGCAAGGAAAAGGAAGATGAAGATGAAGACAAAGGAAAGACTGGAAAGACTGAATTTTCCATCCCACCACTTCCCACAGGAGGTAAGGTTTTTATTCTCAGTTAGTCCAGCACAATCAATGTTAAGTCAAATTATCCATAGATTTTGCTTAATTCGTTAATTCTCTTAATTCGTTCGATTGTTCGTTTCTTCTGGCTTTCTTCCTTCCTTCCTTCCTTCCTTCCTTCCTTCTTTCCTTTCTTCCTTCCTTCCTTCCTTCCTTCATTCGTTCATTCTTTTGTTCGTTCGTCCGTTTGTCCGTTCGGTTTACTCCCTCACTCGCTCGCTCATTCGTTCGTTCGTTCGTTCGTTCGTTCGTTCGTTCGTTCGTTCGTTCGTTCGTTCTCTCTTTCGTGCGTTGATTTGTTCGTGCATTCGTTCGTTAGTTAGTTAGTTCGTTCGTTCGTTCTTTCAATTCGTTCGTTCGTTCGTTCGCTCGTTCTTTCGTGCGTTCATTTGTTCGTCCATTCGTTAGTTAGTTAGTTAGTTCGTTCGTTCGTTCTTTCGTGCGTTCATTTGTTGGTCCATTCGTTCATTTGTTCATCCATTCGTTCATTTGTTCGTCCATTCGTTTATTTGTTCGTCCATTCGGTCATCTTTACTCACTAATTAATCAATCAATTAATTTATTTATTTATCTATTTGTAAATTCATTTATTTATACATATTTTTGTGTGCTTTTTTAAATTTAAAATGACCATACATTCTCCTTTGTTACGGTAGCTCCCCCTGGGGCAGATGGGCCTTACAGTCGCGGAGTGGTCGCTGCAGATGCTCCCACCTGCTCAGAGGTGGGCCGAGATATCCTCAAAAAGAACGGGTCAGCGGTTGACTCTGCAGTTGCTACCCTGTTTTGTATAGGAGTCATCAATATGCACTCAGCTGGCATCGGCGGTGGTGGCTTTATGGTGATTTATAGCAAGGCAAAAAAAGAAGTTAAAGTGTACGACTATAGAGAACAGGCCCCTGGCAAGGCGAATCAAACAATGTATGTCAACAGCAGCCTCAGCTCCAAAATTGGTAAAGTTCTTAAAAATGTTCAAATGTTGGATGTTTGTAATGATCAATGACCTTAGCTACATCTAGCTTGTTAAACTGAAAGAAACAAATGTCTCAAATAAAATATAATAGGCTTAAGAAATTCCAACTGGCGGGAGGCAGACCAGTTGGATATTTAGAAACATGACCGAGGAGTTGAACTAGGGTCTACCAAGAAACAACTCCAGCTTAGTGGTCAGAGCGGGACTTGAGCCCGCGACCTCCGGCTTTCAAGTCCGGCGCCCTAACCACTCGACCACGCTGCCTCGACTAATATTTTTGTTTAAGTCGTTTCATACGCAAGAACGCTCACATTTTAAATATTAATTTTTGAATCGTTGTGGAGTTTAGCTAGTTTCTCTTTATCTAAACCATGATTTTCATTTAAATTATTGCCCGCGAAAGGTCTCGCTAAGGGGAGAGACTGGAGAATAACGTTTTGTATTTTACATGTCATCGTTAGCTACAAAACTGTGTACAATTACTCAATTTATTACTCGTAATAACAGAAGTTTGCCTTATAAATTCAAAATCGTCGTTGTTTCTCTTAAAATTGTTGTCTGTAGATAAGTTAGAGTTTATATTGTCTGTGTATGATTTAGAGAAAGTTTACACCCCCTCTACATTACGCCGGAGGAATTTGAAAACGGAGGTCTTACTCGGAAAACGCATTAAATGTTTTTCGTCCACACTATGCCGGAGGAATTTAAAAACGCAGCAATCGCCGGTCATTTTGGATTTCACGCACCGCCATAACCTCGAAATTTAAAATGCGCTGGTTTCCAAACAAAGAGCGCTACGGAGCTGGAAAGTTGTAAACAGATGTAAATTTAGTACCTCTTATGCCTGATGAGGATAAAAACTTTGGTGGCTCTTTAGTTTTGGATTTAAGAATTTGATGACGTCACGTGGAAAGGCTCTATGCACATCCGCTTTCAGGCTCGTTTGTATGCTAAAAATCAGATCACCCATGGGCTATTTCACGATATACAAATAAAAAGCATTGCACATCTAGTAAAAATTTTACAACTGATAATCGTATTATTGTAACTCTGTCACAGGCCCTTCCGCATCGGGCATCCCTGGTGAGGTTAAAGGATTGCACGCAGCTTGGAAGGCATACGGTAGATTGCCATGGAAGGAACTAGTGCAACCTGCTATCGACTTCGCAAAGAATGGATTTCGATTTGGGCATGCTGCATTTTCGGCTGCTAGCAGTAGTTCAGTTCTGCCAGCAATCAAGAAAGATGAAGGATTAAGGTATTTATTACAGAAGCTATTTTACGGTAACCGTGCCGCAGCTTTTATTCATCGGAAGCAGAAGCATATCACCTAATAGGTGATATGCTTCTGTTGGAAGTGATAAAGTCAGTTTTGAATGTTTTCCAGGGTTTTCGGATCACCTTCGTCAATGTTCGACAATTTTCGGTCATATTCGGCAATCATTGGAAATCTTCGGTTCAATACTCGTCGGATCTCAGGTTATCTTCGGGACTGTTAGATAGAGTAGACAACTTTACCTAATCTTCTTAACTTCATTTTCTTTTTAATTTATTCATTTCACCGTAAAAGTTCTTTCAACCGTGGCCATGGTTGGATCATTTCTCCCTCGATGTAAAGAACATTACTAATTCTCAACTCCGGAGACGTGATGGCCTCATGGTTGGTGCGCTGGTCTCCGGATCGAGGAGTTCGGTTCGAGCCCTGGCCGAGGACATTGTGTTGCGTTCTTTACTCTCACGGTACCTCTGTCCACCCAGGTGTATATATAAATGGGTACCGGCGAATTTAATGCTGGGGGTAACCCGGCGATGGACTAGCATCCCATCCAGGGGGGAGTAGAATTACTCCTAGTCGCCTAATGGGCCACTTGGTTCGTATTCAGACTTTAATTCTCAAAGCCAGTACAGATGTATTAAAAGGAATTTGAGATAGTCAGTGAGGAGAATTATTATTATTTCTTTGCAGTCAATTGCTATTAGACGCAGAAGGGAATTTAAAGAAGTTGGGTTCTGTTTTAAAAATGCCCAAGTTTGCCAGAACCTTGGAGATAATTCGCGATAATCCAGAGAGCTTCTACACCGGTGAATTGGCCAAGGACATAGTCAAAGACGTCCAGGAGAACGGTGGCATAATTACCCTGGAGGACATGAAACAGTACA